AAAATAAATGACCAGAGACCTTAAAAACAATGGCAGCTAACAGACTCCATTTAGGGCCAGGGCAGCCTCCCAGGGTTGTTTGTTACGGCTTTTGTCCACATCCGCCTTTCCTACCAAGCTTACTCTCCACTCGCCTGGCTCACGCTGCATCACCAGAGCTTAGCCGATAAGGAGGAGCTTAATAATTGTTGGCGAGAACAAATAAGTGGATTGCAACCACGTCAGAAGTGATGAGTGCAAGAGGAGAATGAGATTGGCTTCCAAATATTGGTCAAGAGCTTTAAGTGGGATGAGCCAAGGATCTTTAAGGGCTATGCTCTCATAGGACCAGGGCACTTTCTGGGTCTAGGATTCTGGGGAGGTGACAAGGTCACCGCCTGTAGTCTTCCTGGAAGGAAAGAGTTAAACACGGCTAAGCCTGGGAGCCTGCGGGAGCGGTGTGCTCACCAGTGCACCTGCCTGTGGGCCTGTCACCTCCATCTCTGCCCGCACCACCCCCCACACCGCGGAGGGGGGATGCTGGGCTTTCCGGTCTTGCTTAGTGTGCTTGACCAAAGGTGACTTCATGGTCTAAGGTCGTGCCCTCCCCCCTTCTGAATCGATAATTTAATGTGACTTATCAGAAAGGGAAAGAACTGTTTACTTTAAAAGCCTGGATCCCATAAAGGGAGAGGGACAAGGCCTAAAACCCACAGAAGCCCGGGACTCACACTCACGGCCGCCCCCAAGCAGAACAGGGAGCCTGGACCAGAGAAGGGGCCCTGGGCTGAGGACTCGAGCAACTGAAAGGTAAGGTTCACTCTTCCCATGAGCCCTCCAACTCCCCGTGTGAGTTAGGCTGTTCTTCTGGAGGCTCACCGATTTTCAAAAGTGGGGGTGAGCTGTGACCAGGTGTTTAAAAAGACCCCACACGACACCTGAGCAAGGTGCAGCGGCGAACACGGCCTTCTTGAATGTGTCTGCCACGTTTATTGCTTCTTCAGAAAGCCTCAAGGTTTTTCTAGGTGTTCTTCTCGCCCTGCAGAGGGAAAGGAGGAGGCGAGGGAGGAGCCGAGGGCCCAGAGGCGGCGTGGGCTTTTTTCTGCCCTTGGCGTGGCGGTCATGAAGCTGCACCCTGCTCTATGGTGGTCTGATTTAACGATGGCACCAAGGCTTGAAGGTCCCACCAGGAGTCTGACTGGAACTAGGAGGTTTATCCGACCAGGAATCCCTCCTCTGCCCAAGCTTCTGGGCAAGCACATGGCAAAGCTCACGGTTTTGTTCTTCAGCTTCTAAAATGCCAGCGTCAGAGCTGTTCAAGCGTCCGCCTCGGGCTGGTCCATCCACAGCACTGGAAATAGCTGGGCACCTGCAGAGAAATGGTGCCCAGGAGCCCCCCAGCCTCAGCAATTCTCTTACAAAGAGTCTGTTGAGATGCCGACTCAGCTGAGAAGTTGCCCAGTGACCCCCTCCTCACCCCTGGGTGGTGATAAGCATGGTCAGGAGCATCCGATCTTCCCTTCTGGACAATGTCAGTGAGAAAAGAAATGCCGCGTTGCTCCCTACTGACAAGGAGGTTTCTTTTTTCAAATGACCATGAACTTTCCAAGTGACAGGACTCAGACTTATGATAGGGACTCTCTTTGCCTTCATCTAAATTCTAAACTCTAACAAAGCCCAAAAGAATCAAATGGATGCATTTCACACATCTATTTGAAATGATAGTGAATGTGGGTTTGGAATTAAGAAAAAGCATCTCCATTTGGCTTTTGCTTTTAAAGAAAACTTTATTTAGTTTTTGGTCCTGACGGATCAGGTTTTCTGCAAGGTAACAACACTTCATGATCCCCAACGCACTCTTTTCTCAGTTCTCGGGGGTTGGCCCTAGAATGTCCTCAGCCCCTGGGAAACAAACTATGCAGGCAAAGGCAAGCTGCTCATGCCCAGATCTGACTTAAGAGAGAATAAGGAGTTTTATGACATTCCTGGTACTTGTGAATCAAAGGCATCTTGCACAAAGCTGTGATGCACACAAAATAGTTACAGATGGAAGTATTTGCTAGAGGGCTAGGCTTTTAAAGGCTTCCTCTGTGATGAACCCCCCTCTCCCCATTAATGGGAAAAAAAAGAGCCCATGACATACAAAAAGGGGCAAGCTCGGTCTTGCCAGTTTCTCATACCCACGGGCTCAATGGGAAAACTGCATTCGGAATTGAGCACAATAACTAGAAATGTCTAGAGATTCAGTCCAGGTTGGGAAGGGGAGGGAAGGTTACACCAAAACACTGCACAGAAATGTTGTAATAGCCGTTTAGGAGTGCCTAGCACTGACCTCTCTCAGGAAATCCCAGGAAACAAGGCACAAGAAGAGATGGGGAGAGCGGGATGCGGCTGAGATCAGAGGAGAGACCCCAGCCCTCGAGGCCTTTTCTAAGCTGCAGAAAACTGTGCTGGCATTGGGACCCATCACCTTGATTAATGTCCAACATCTTTGCCTTAAGCATTCCTCTTTTTTTTTTTATAGGAAATAACGGGTATAATTATGTCTTAACCACCTTATGAACTTTCTAGTTTTTATGAACTGGTACTATTTAAGTTGTTACATTTGAAATTACCAGATCAAAATATTTTTTTATATCTGCAGAATGAGAAATAACTATGAGAATTAAATATATATATTTAATATATATATATCTTCCTATTAAGTGGCTGACTTCCTTTGGATATATACATACCCAAGTAGATCCTGGCATTAACCACTTCTCATTTTCTTGTTAGTGACATATTATTGGATGGCATTTGGAAAAAGCAAAAACATTCTGCTTGCTTGTTTCAACCGCATTGCAGGTTGGCTGAGTTTAGCCTGCAGAAACAATCAAAAAAGTAATAAGATATGATGGCCATTAGAGCTATGTTTGAAATTTGTGCACAAGGCTGAGCATAACAGGCATGCAATAAATGTGTTTATTGATCAATCATACCATAAAATTATTGTACTGCATAATAAAGTATTTCACTAATAATTTGCTAGGAAATTAGCCTGAGGCCCATCTCTCAGCACAGCACTAACTTGTCAAGCTTGTTGACAAGCAGCACAGACATAGATAGGTAAGCTCTACCCACACAATTTCAGAAGAGCCTGTGCAAGAAGGAATTTTTATTAGGAATGCACACACACACACACACACACACACACACACACACACACACACCCTGCTTA